GAGAGAGAGAGAGAGAGAGAGAGAGAGAGAGAGGAAAAAGAAAAGGGAAAAAAGAGAAACCCGGAAGAGAGAAGAGTGATCCGAAATATCGTTGACGGGACAACACGAAGCAATCAGAATCGTCGATCCATTTAAAAGAGAAATCATCGAGAAGATTCGCGAGGGTGCGAGCTGACGATAACCGTAGTATGAGAGAAGAGCGGCACGCAGCGAGAAGGTAAGGTACTCGATTGATTTGCCGTCGATGTAGACGACGCCTTTTTTACATCTATTATTTCTAAATCATCGTCGTACATCCGTGATTATATACGAATAAAAAAGAATAGCGGAATCGGGGAATACGTATCGTAATGATTTTCCTCGAACTATATTCGATCGATTGTACGATCGTAAAATTGTTCGTAAAAATACGGAAGATTTATCCGATCGGTGTGTGGCTCGGCTCGTGAACACGTTCCACGAGAAGGGTTAAAGAAAGCTCGCTGGGATGGCGTAGATGGGAGAAGGGGTATAAAGCAAGAGGCGATGGAAGCAACGATAGAGGTGGAGGTGAAGGCGGACAAGGTGGTGAAGAAAAGAGAGAGCGAGCGTGAGAGAGAAAGAGAAAGAGAGAGAGAGGGAGAGAGAAACGAACGAAGAGACGAGCGAACGAACGAGCGCGTAACTAGGTGCATCATGAATAATACGCGCAGCTCGTGAACAAGTGCACGCTCGTACGATCCTGCGTTCGTGGATGCGTGAGGGTGTAGAACCGTATACGTACGGGTTTATTATACACATACGTACATGCATATATTCGCGTACATATAAATATAATCGAACGCACCCAGATATCTATTTATAAGTTTAAACACAGGGCGAGAAGAAGGAGTGGTGGGAATCTGTAGCGGATGCTCGGTCACTGGTAGCCTGTACCGTGTGCCGCGCGGCTTCTCCTAGTGATCTTCTCTGCCAGTGTACTTTCCACGGTGATGCTGTTATTCGTGCGGTGACGATTCGTACCGCGTTAACCGGATCGGAATTCGATTCGAGAAAAATTTTATTTTCCCGCTTCGATGGAAACGACGATTAAGAGCAAGGGATTGAACCGAAGGGGACGAGTTTAACGCGTGAAAAATCAAAGGTGAATCGCGAAAGTGATTTCTTCGTCGAATGGTGTATCCTCTGGTGTGAAAAACGCTGTAAGAAAGGAATAAACAAAAAGCGGGGAAAGGGGAAGGGAGGATAAGGAGAGAAAAGGGGATAAGAAGTAGCGAGTAGAGAAAGGGACTCGACGAGTGGAACAAGTGTTGGCATTGAGGAATCGCGGTTGCCGCGAGTGCGTCAACGCGGATATGACGAGAGGATACGCCCGATTCTCGTGATACGCGACGTAATCGTTACCGATCTCTCGCAAGATATGCGGTAAGTCGTCAAATTTTCCGCCTAATAAAATTTTACATCCGCGAAATTTTTCGACTTTAATTTTTTCTTTTTTCTTTCCTTCCTTTCTCCTCGTCGATCTTCCTCCTCACGGTCCATCAATTTTCGCGTATATCTATCCTACACTTTCTATCCTTCTTCTAAATTTTTTTTTTCGCGTTAAATTCACGTTCGGATTCTGGACG